TGAAAAGTATTTTTTTAGGGAAAGCTTAACGTGGAAAGTTACTTCATAAATCTCATCAAACGGTTTTATAGTGAATAGGACAGATTTGAATACGTGATCTAACCCACAAAGGCTCCCGGTTTTTTTACAACTAGGACAAATTAATTTTAGAGTTTGAGTTTGATAAGAGGAACGGGATTCATGTGAAACTTACTTTGTAAAACCTTTTCCTTCAGACACGACAATTGTGTTGGTGGAAACAAATTTGAAGTCAAACGCGGAGCGGAAGTACAAAATACAAAAATTGCCAAAAATATAAGATATAGTAAGTTGAACCTTCAAATTTATGATAGCGTCAACGTTGCATCTAACCTCAGGAGGGTGCCGACAACTACGCCGTTGCCAATTGCAGCACAGAAGTTGATCAATCCGAGTGCTATTCCAAAAGATAGTTTAGCAATTGGTCTGCTTAGGTCAAATTTTTTCCAGTAAGGATGAACAAAGAAAGGTAAGAGCTCTTGATCCTTTTTTAAAAAAGAGGAGGCAAATTCCGAAATGTTTTTTGAGATGTTCATCCGGGACTATTAGTGCTGAATAAGATGAAGCAACATGTTACCTTGAGGTAAATAAGTCATTAAAGCGAATAAATAAATAGCGACATAAAAAAACGACAGTCACATTCTGGCCAATAATAGACGCGTAATCTATTCTAAGCACTGATTTGTATATCGCATACGCGCGAGCAGTCACTCAAGAGGATTAGAAATTCATACATCTAACGCTTTAAGAGGTAAATGACACTATTCAAAGTTAACCATTAATTTTAAAGTTGCGGTGTTCATCACTTGGTTTAAATAATTAAAGCAGATGCATAACCATGCATAATTGATCAAATCATATTACGTTTAAGCATTTCACAGCAGAAAGCGTGAACACGTGATGACTAGAACCGTTGATGTACTCGTCTCAGCTTTTGGGTAGCAGCGCTTGTTTAAACGCAACCACAACTGAGCATTTCCACAGACGAACATTCTGGAGAGTGGGGCTGAAGTGGCCTCTAAAATTACCACCTGACGAAGTAAA